ATTTATAAATATAATGGCTGTAAACTAATTGCATGCATATTATGCTAACTGGTATCTTTTAACGTGGAAATATTTTTCCCTATGTCATAAAATAGCAATGGTAATATTTAAAATCATTCGGAAATATTTATTAAACCATTTTTAAAGGTGTAAGAACATAAGACTTTGACATATTTGAATTTTTTTAAATACAATGATTTACACAGATGTTACAACACAAATTACTTCCCATAGTTCACCATTTAAATTCTCTTGTTGGACTAAATTTATAACTTTTCTTTTATGTTCTGTTCCTTTTTGGATGAAAACACAAATCCAAACGAGAATGAGAGAAATTGCGGCAAAAACTAAAACAGGCAGAACACAACTTTTTCTAAAATTTGGCTTCTCCCAAAAGAGGGTGTGGCTTTTTCTGAAAAGGAAGTGACGTTGTTTGATATTTTTCTTTCAGATCAAGAAGAAAAACATTAATGGCGGCTCAGTGACACGGAGTATCTGCAGGTTTTATTTTATATATTTAGTATTTAACCGAATGTTTTCTATCTGTGAGTTATATTTTAGTTTATTTTGTTTGTTTTTTGTCATGGTTTAGAGAACTGGCTTTAGGACCCACCAGACCACCTCCTCGTCGCCTCTTTGTCTCGGAGCCTCCTCCTCCTGTCGGTCCTCTCCGGGTTTTAGTCCGGGTCTCTCTCCATCAGCAGCGGGCTGGATGCTCACAGGGACACAAACATGGCCGTGAATCTCGCCAAGAACAGACTGGTCCTGCTGACCGCCTACCAGGACGTCATTGACGAGACCTCTGAGACCGACTGGTGAGTCCTGCGTCCGGCCTCTGGTCCCAGACCCGGGTCCCTCCGGGTCCCTCTTCTCCGTCTTTGGCTGCTTTTTCTCGGGTCTTCTCTCGGTGAGGATGCGCGGGGAGGGCAGGTCCGGGGCGCATCCTCCTCTGTAATCCATCCGGACCGGTCCGGGTCCGGACTGAAGTCCAGAAACAGCAGGCCCGGTTCTGGTTAAGTCACTTTCTCAGTCAGATTCTGGTTCTGGGCTCAGACCTACAGTTAGTTTTGGGGTTTTGAGTCCGAACCACTGCAGAGTCCGGATTTGCTGTGCTTTGTTTGTCCCCCCTCAGGTCTCTGGACCCAGTCGGGACCAGCGGGATTCAGTTCTAGGGGGGATTTGTGTGTGAGGAGCTGAGGTTTGGTGGGCCTGGTTCTGATGAGCCCCAGCATCCCTAAAAAACCAGGAGGGGAGGAAGAGGGGCGAGGCCGGGGGGTGGGGGCGGGGGGTCGTGGCCTCCATCAGGACGAGGGGGCCCAGAACTGTGCAGAAGTCCTGATCCAGTCCTGTTGAGGTGGTTCTCATCAACAGTTCTGGGTTTTTTTCACAGGTCCAGTTCTGGTTCCTGTTCAGTAGAACCTGTTTGTGGACCATCTGAGGAACCTGGAGTTTCCAGTTCTGAAATGACCCACAAGGGTTCAGGTCTAAAACCTTGTGGGTCACTTGGACCCAAGGGCAGCAGGAGTGTTCAAACTCCTGAGAGATTCTTCGGCTGTTTGAGATGTTTTCAGCTGATCTCAGGGAGCTAAAAGATCAATCTGTGTTTTTGTGACGGCTGCTGAGCCTAAAGATCCAGTTTCAGATTCAGGTTCTGCTCTGAACGCTGACTCAGCATCTTCGGTTGTTTTCCTCTTTTAATTGTTTCAGCAAACTTTGTGCTTCTTTAGCCACTCGTACTAAAACGTTCGGCTCGTTCTTTTTAACACTTTTCAAAATAATTAACGTTTTTTTGTTGACCCTTTTAAAAACACAAAACCCAACATCTGTGCTGTTTGTGTCTTCTTATACAGCTTTTAGCCAACATGTTAATTTTAGCTTTTAGCTGATATATTTAGCATTAAGATGGCTTCTCGCTGTCTGGAAATAGCTCGTTCTTTCTTTCTTTCTTTCTTTCTTTCTTTCTTTCTTTCTTTCTTTCTTTCTTTCTTTCTTTCTTTCTTTCTTTCGATGCTTTTAACCTTTAGGTAAACTTCAGCTGCTTTTGCCTGCTGTTTTGCTATTGCTAGGTAGTGTTTATGTTCTTTTAGCTTTTAGCTAGTGTTCTGCTACTTTTTGCCTTTAGATATCCTTATGACAACTTTAGCATAAAGGTAGCTACATGCTATTTTGACCTAGCCTTTTGCTGTTGTTAATGTTTAACTCTAACACCACCTTTAGCTAGTAATTAATGCTTTTAGAGAAACTTCAGCTGCTTTTGTTTTCTGTTTTGTTATTGCTAGCTAGCGTTTTTCTACTTTTACTTTCTATATCATTTGGATACCTTTTAGCATATGCTACTTTGACCTAGCCTTTTGCTATTTTTAATGTCTAACTCTAATGCAACCTTTATTRCTTATAGACAGAGTTGCACATAAGCGGTGTGCAGGTGCGCATGCGCGATGAAAAAAGAAAAAGCGCACCAGATGGAATGTCATAAAGCTTCCTTGCATACCTTAGATTGTACCTGAGATTGTGAAAACGACAGCTAGCAGGGTCGCAAATGTGACCTGATTTCTTAAAAACAAACGAAACAAACAAACAAAAAAGTCCAGCCTCACTGGTGTGACTGGATCATCGTTCTGTCAGAGGAGGGCAGTGGTAGCAGGACCCTGATCAGACACTGCTTTCAACGAATCAGACGAACTCCAGAGCTGTTTTATCCAATCAGAGCAGAGCAGGGCGGGACTTTCAGTGAGCTGTTTTCAGCAGAGACAAACTGCAGGYTGAAGCAGCGGCTGCAGCGATCAGTCCTGACATCTCCTCCTGCACTTTTCTCCTGAAGTACCAGAACTTTGGTCTTTAAAACCTAACTTTATATTAAATATATATTCAGAGCGTTGTTATCCAACAGAACTGTCCAACTTTGCGTCAGTGACTAAACTCTCTCCTCCTGAGAGACGGGAACGCACCTCAGCGCCCGCAGGCTGAGTCTTTCTGTGAGATTCACTAGCTGCGTTTCCATTGCAAATGTGTGCAAAACTTTATTGATATTCTGTTAATGTCAAAAAAAAACACAGTTTTGCAACTGCAGTGTTTCCATCAAGTAAGAAATGCTATTAAAGTCACGTGTGAATACGTTTGTTCTCATGAT